AAGAAAATGCAAACTTGGGGAGGGCAGAAAGATCACACACAAGGCTGTCACTTCACCCTTGGAGGGTTGCACAGCGGCTGGCAGAGGCGCTGCTCACTTCCCAGATGGGGTGTGTGTATGGGGGGCGGGGGACGGCCGGGCAGAGGCACTCCTCACTTTCTAGATGGGGTGGGGGCCAGGCAGAGGGCTCCTCACTTCCCAGACGATGGCGTGGGCCGGGCAGAGGCGCTCTTCACTTCCCAGACGGTGGGGGACCCGGGCAGAGGCGCTTCTCACTTCCCAGAGGGTGTGGTGGCGGGGAGGGCGCAGGGCAGAGGCACTCCTCACTTCCCAGACGGGACGGCTGCCGGGCAGAGCAGAGGCGCTCCTCACTTCCCAGACTGGGCGGCAGCTGGGCAGTGGCGCTTCTCCCTTCCCAGACAATGGGAGGGCCGGCAGAGGTTCTCCCCACTTCCCAGATTTGAGGGGAGAAGGGCAGAGGTGCTTCTCACTTCCCAGACGGTGGGAGGGGGGTGGGCAGAGTCACTCCTCACTTCCCAGATGGGGCGGTGGCCGGGCAGAGGTGTTCCTCACTTCCCAGACGGTGGGGCGGTGGGGCAGAGGTGCTCCTCACTTCCCAGACAATGAGGGGACTGGGCAGAGGCACTCCTCACTTCACCGACGGGGTGGGGGCCGGGCAGACGTGCTCCTCACTTCCGGACGGGGCGGGGAATGCGCAGAGGTGCTCTTCACTTCTCAGAAGCGGTGGGGGCCAGGCAGAGGCGCTTCTCACTTCCCAGACAGTGCGGGCCGGGCAGAGGGGCTCCTGCCATCCTAGATGGTGCAGTGGCTGGGCAGTGGCGCTCCTTACTTCCCAGACAGTTGGAGGGCCAGGCAGAGGTCCCCATCATTTTCCAGACGGGACCGCAGCTGGGCAGAGGCGCTCCTCACTTCCCAGACCTATGACCTACACTTTTCATGAATGGTACTAACCAGTTTCAATTTATGTGATTATATTTTAAATGTCAGCCTCCCTCCCTAGACTGTGGGCTCTGTCCAAGTAGAAACTCTCCTTGCTTTGTTCACCACTGTATCTCTAGCACCTTGTATGGCACCTGGCATATTTGTTGAAAGAACTACATCAATGATTTTCAAAGTGTGTTCTGAGGTGGCATCTTACCTGCCGTGGTAAGGGATGGAGGAAAATGTCAGCTGGTTGCCTACTCCCAGGTCCTCTTTTATTTGGCTCAAATATTGGATCCTGGCATAAGAATATGAGTATACAAGAAATTTCCAGTGCTTCAGAAAATATTGTACAAACTGCTGAATTAGTTGATGTTAATGTATCTTCCATCTTCAATATTCTGTGATCCTAGATGAAAATAACAAAGGGGGCCAGGCGTAGTGGCTCAGGCCTGTAATCCCAGTACTTTGGGAGGCCGAGATGGGTGGATAGCTTGAGGCCAGGAGTTTTGAGACCAGCCTGGACAACATGGCAAAACCCCATCTCTATAAAAAATACAAAAATTAATTGGGCACGGAGGTGCGTATCTCAACTACAAGGGACACGGGTGGCTGCAGTGAGCCTAGACTGTGCCAGTGCACACCAGCTTGGGCAACAGAGCAAGATCCTGTCTCCAAAAAAAAAAAAAAGAAAATAACAAAATAACAAAGGCCATGTATGAATATATATGTCATAATGAGGGAGTGGTATTTGCCAGGAAGGTTGGCAGTGGTTCCTTTTTCCAGGAGCAGTGAAGCTCCCCTTTCCCACTCTTAATTGAGGATCTCAGGAGCTCCTATCCCTTTCCACTTGGCTAAGAGTTATTCTCAGGCCTGAAGTTTTTTCTTGGCTACCCTCTTTACCATCCAAGAAGTGCTTTCTCCTTATCCTGTAGGGATTCCCCAAAGACCCTACAGTCTAGCCATTTGGGGTTACTTGTAGTCCTCTCCCATTCACATACTCATTCATGCCATTCCCTTAGCCGAGAATTATCTTTTTTCTCTTCTTAGCAAAGTCATCCTGTAACTTAAATGCCAATCCTTGTAAGCCTTTCCAGAAGCCCTCCTGCGCTCCCGTAATACTTTATTTATGTATCTACATAGAACCTTCTGCAGTTCAAACGGGCAAGTTACTTGTTTTATCAGTAGAAAAATACAAATAGTGTTACAGGCTGGGTTCCCAGGAAGCACACTCTTACATGACTAGTGTGCAGGGGATTTATTAGGGAATGCTTTTGGAATCATCACTTGTGGAAGGGAAGAAAAGCTGAATTGGGCAGAAGCAGCTAGGCTTCAATGAAGTCTCAATGGAATGCCTTAGCTGATCCTGCAAGTTGTTCTGCAGGAGATGAGAAAATCCATCAGAATTGTACCAAATGGAGGTGAGAGGGCTGGGCCTTTTATCCCTGCATTGATCAGTCGCTGGATGTGGCCTCTCTGAGAACATTATGACACTGTGACACTGGCATGCCTGAAAGGGGCTGACAACCGATGGCTTGCTATGGGTAGGACTCTTGGCGGCAGCAGCTGAGTGCTTTATTCCTGAAGTGGGGTCTGTAAAGTGCATCTCAAGGCCTACCACAAATAGTATATATCTCATAGGATTGTCAGAAGCCTAAAATAGGGTAACATAGAAAAGTACACAGCATTTGACTTGGCACATAGAAATCAAAAGCATGCTAAATATGGTTATCATAATAGAATTTGGCTCTATAAGTAGAAAGAGCAAGTTAGGGAAACGTGCTTAGTCTTAGTATAGGGCACTAGTATGTTTTATCTTTCCTTTTTTATTTTTGAGACAGAGTCTTGCTTCATTGCCCAGGCTGGAGTGCAGTGGCGTGATCTCGGCTCACTGCAACCTTCACCTCCCGGGTTCGAGCGATTCTCCTGCCTCAGCTTCTCAAGTAGCTGGGATTACATGGGATAACAGGTGTGTGCCACCACACCTGGCTAATTTTTCTATTTTTTTTTTTTTTTTGAGACAGAGTCTCGCTCTGCCGCCCAGGCTGGAGTGCAGTGGCCGGATCTCAGCTCACTGCAAGCTCCGCCTCCCGGGTTTACGCCATTCTCCTGCCTCAGCCTCCCAAGTAGCTGGGACTACAGGCGTCCGCCGCGTCGCCCGGCTAGTTTTTTGTATTTTTTTTTTTTTTTTTTTTTTTTTTTTTTTTTAAGTAGAGACGGGGTTTCACTGTGTTAGCCAGGATGATCTAGAGACGAAGTTTCACCATGTTGGCCAGACTAGTCTTTAACTCCTGACACCTCAGGTGATCTGTCCGTCTCGGCCTCCCAAAGTGGTGGGATTACAGGCGTGAGCCACCGTGCCCACCCCCCCCCCCTTTTTTTTTTGACATACTGCCACCCAGAAACACTGGTATGTTCAATAAATACTTGATGTGTTAATTAATATAAAATATGTAACCTTTTTTCTTGAAGTAGATGTTACTTTGAGTTGAACTCAAAGCTAAAATACAAAACACCATTTAAACCATTTAATAACTTTTATTAGTAACATAAAAGGCACAACATGTATCCACTTGCCTTAAAAAAAAAATAATGTTCCAAAGGAAAACACAAGTAATGAAGCAGTAGTGGACAATTGTCAAAGAAGAGCGCCGGTTAATGGCTTCTACCACTGGATTTTATATTTTTTGAACATAATCTTTATAGCCAGGGAAGGAGGTTTAGCTGTTTTTCCACAGCTCATAAATGTTGTTTATCTTCATTAATGTGTGTTGGGCTTCATTCTCCTACATGCTCAATATAGTTGGTAGATCTGTTTTGATACTACTGAGCACTGCTTTGTGCCAGACACAATTCTGGGGATACAGTAATGAGCAAAATAGTTTACTAAGTCCCGGCTTTTAAAAATCTTACATTCTTGGTGGTGAGGATACTGACAAATAAATAAGGTCTGGAAGTTGTAACTGTTATGAAGAAATAAAAGCAGGTAAAGAGTTACAGCAATGGTGCAGGTGTACTTTTTTGGATACAGTGGTCTGGGCAGCCCTCTGAGAAGGGACCTGAAATATGCATCGAACATCGACGAGTTAAAAAAAATCTGGAGGAAATGTTCTGCCAGAGAAATCAGCAAGCGCAAAGGCCCCAAGTGGCTCGAGTTTGCGTGGTGTGGTACCAGCTAGAAAGCCAGAGGTGAACGAGGAGAGGCAGAAGCATCATCATAAATACACATATGGATGTTCTCCTGGCTTGAGACCACAGTGCTAAGGGAGGTGGGGTTTACAAATCTCTCAGGAGGCCACAAAGAGTAGAATGAAGCCGATTTCCAACGGCGGAGCTACGAGGACGCTTTTCCTCTGTTAGGGCCAGGTTGGACAATTGCAAGGGATGGACTGCAACCCGCTCTCGGAAGACCAACCTTCGCCCAGGGGCAGGGATGGGCCGGGAAGGGCCTCGGCAACCCCCGACCCGCGGGCGCTGCACGGGCCGCGGTTACCAGCAGGCGGTGTAGTGAGCGCGCCTGCAGCAGCAGCAGCAGCAGCTACCGCAGCAGCAGTCGCCGCCGCCGCCGCCCGCCCGTCCCAACGAGGAGGAGAAAGGAGGGGACCGGAAGGAGCCGCTGGTGCTGCGGGAAGTGGCAGGAGCTGGAGGCGGGGACCCACCTGGAAGCGCCGCGGCGCCGCTATCGAGCTTCCTGCAGCAGTGGCCACCCGAGCAAGTGCCGTGGCGGGGGCGGAGAGCGGCCAAGGCGGCGGCGCCTCCCCCAGTGGCCCGTGGAGTGCGACCCCGCGTGAAAGGTTAGCAGGAGCGCGGGGCACGTGGTGAGGGCCAGACACGGGGGAGGGAGAATGAAGGGGGAGGGAATGGGGGTGGCAAACGATCGGCTTGGGACCCGGATTTGGAGCCAAGTACTGGGAGGGGGTGGGCTGGAGGCGACGACTGCGACGGCTGTGACGGCGAAGCCCCCACGTGGGGCGGGGGTGCGCGCGCACGTGTGCGCGGGCGAAAGGGGGGCGGGGAGGGCTCCTGGGAGGGCGTCGGGCGCGCGCTCGCTCAGTGGCGGCCCACGTGATGGGCACGCCGAGAATATGTTTCCACGTGACAGGGAGGCCGGCTGAGGCAGCGCGTTGGGCTGCGTTTGTGTAGTATAACCGTGGTAATCGGAGGTTTTTAAGATTGCCGCTTTTCTTCTGTACAAGGGGAAAGGAGGAGACATATAAAGCGGAAAAGACTTCCTACTCAGTGTTTTAAATGTTCACTACTCTGTTAGTGAAGTGTTTTTTAAGTTCCGAAATACTGATTTTTTTTCTGTACCGCCATGTTAGAGGAAGCTCGCGAGATGCGAGTGTGTTTGTATCGCGAGATCTCTCGATTCTCGCGGGACCTCGTTGGCAGAGCAGTTGTCCTGGATGGCGGAGCCTTGGGTTCCGGGGGCCTGGGACCCGCAACTCTTTCTACAAGGCAAGTCGTTAGGGAGGGGCCCGGGGCGAGTGCCTCTTGGTGCCGGGATACGTGCTATATCAGCTTCCTATAGTCTTGAAGGGAATACAGTAACCCCATTGAGGCAACACTGCCCTCCCCATCCCCCTGCGGGCGCTCCGCCACCTGCAAAAGCATATGCACCCCTCAGCCGGGTCCTTCTCCCTACGCAGTGATAGTTCCACCCTGTCCCACTCACTGGAAGTCCGGAGCCGTGCTGGTGCAGACCTGATGATTCCATTGGATACCGTTCCTCTTACTTTAAAACGTTCTTGTCAGTTTTTCCCTTGTTGCCGTTTTCTAAAGTATTCCAGACCTGTTAACTATTTTGTCGCGTTTTCTGCTGCAGTACCTGTCTCCAGTCTCCTGAAACAGAACTCTTCCCATCTCTTTTCTCTGGGTGTCATTTGCTCATCACCCTGACTTCGTATTTTCAGTAACTTTTGTCAGTATTTGGAGGGCCCATTATGTCTCTGATAGCACCTGAGGTCAGAAGAAAATCCTGCTTTTAATCATTTTGTACGTGCCTATTAACTCAGTTATCGGTAGGGTTTTAATTACCAGTGTGTTACTGACGTTGCCATCTTTGATGTTTAGGGATGGTGGTTTTACGTTATATATTTAGGGTAACAGACTGTTTCATGTGATTTTTTATTTTTATTTTTGAGACGGAGTCTCGCTCTTGTCGCCTAGGCTGAAGTGCAGTGGGGCGATCTCGGCTCATTGCAACCTCCGCCTCCCGGGTTCAAGCGATTCTCCTGCCTCAGCCTCGCGAGTAGCGAGTAGCGAGTAGCCGGGTTTACAGTCGCGCTTCACCACGCCCGGCTAATTTTTGTATTTTTAGTAGAGACGGGCTTTCACCGTGTTGGCCAGGCTAGTCTCAAACTCCTGACCCCAAGTGATCCACCTGCCTCGGCCTCTCAAAGTGCTGGGATTACAGCACTGTACAGGCGTGAGCCACCGCGCCCGGCCTCAGATCGACTTTTTAGTAAAGAGCAAACTCAAACTTTGGTATCAGAGTTTGAGCTTTATTTTTCTTATGAGTTTGAAATCAATTTAATATTTCTCTCCAATTCCCTAATGTCTCAGAAATCAATTTACAATATGCCTTTGCTTTTTCGTATTCTTAAGTAGTGTTTGGATTTTTATTTTAAGTAGTTGCAGTACTACTAAATAGGGAGTGGGGAGTTAATTACAAAACGAATCAGGTGAGTAGTTAATTCATTCATAGTTTGTTTTTTTAAAACTACAAATTTTTTTTTTTTTTTTTTTTTCTGCACGTCATACAGAGGTATATAGTATAGAGTAACACAGTACTTGTTTCAAGGTACCACAAAGTTCCATTTCTCAGTCTTAAATCTCTGTAACTAGCCTTTGTGGTTGCTCTGTATCATTCCAGATATTTCCATGTTTTAGTTTAGTTTTTGTTTCTTAAATGAAGGGGGGAAAGTTGTTTTAATGGGGTGTCAACACAACATTGGCAATCAGTAAACATTTTTTAACTAAATTAAATTTTTATTTAGTGATATGTGCCTGTTTGTCAAGACTCATGTATGCATACTTAGATAAAAAGCAGATTTTTTTGTTTGTACTGATTTTTTTGGTAGTATAATCTTGTGAAAATATCACAAGTGACTTATTTTTGCAGTAAAGTTGATTTATTGTGCTTAGTAGCTTTGCACAGAAAGTACATGTAAAACAATATTTAAATAAATAAATGTTTTATCACTTGAGTTTTATATTTTTATGTTTAATGTTTGTTACATATTTAACTTTATATATTATATATTCTAAACAGTAACCTAACTATATGGGAGTTTTTCAGACGTTTTAAAAGCTTATCAGTGTGATTAAAATGGTAGTTCTGACCCTGCAATTTAGTGATCTCAATTGGAGAGTGTTAGACATATCAGTAGTTCATAGAAACAAAGGTATATATACTTGAAGTTGCTAAGCGGCTTTCATTTTGTAAGTGTTGTTTTTGTAATTTCCCCCTTAAACCTACCAGTAATAATATTTATCAGACCAGTCACATAAGAAAAGTGTCCACTCTTTGGGCAATGTGGTTTTTTGTTGTAACAGTGCAGCTAGAAATGTTGAGGAATAGAGGTGAGCATTGAGAGAGATGATGTTGGAAAGAGGAAAAGGGGACGTTGGGAGTGTAGAGGTTGATGTTGAAATGGAATTGGACAAGTTGGGGAGAAAAGAGGAATGTAGAAGGTTGACAGTGAGTCAAGAGCCGTGGTCCAAGAATAAGTTAGCCTCATAATAGTTGGAGGACAGCCGAGTCCGTATTTGAGGCAACTTTCTCCTCCTATTTTTTTTAGTCAGTTCTGGGTCCGTTCACAGAATTGCTAGATATTTCCTGTCATAAAAGTCAGCAGCTTAAGGTGATACTTAATTGAAACCTTGTGAATTCTTTACTTTAGATAAAGCTATTCTGTTAAATAACGTTTGTTAAGTACATTTTATTATTATTTTTAGAAGTAGAAAATTGTGAAAGTGACAATGAGTTTGAAGGTCACAGTTCTACAGTGGCCTTTGCAAAGGTATCTGCATAAATTTAGCTTGGTAACTCGGCCTTTAATAGTCCACGTACATCTGATCTATGAAATAATATATGTTCCTTGTTCTTAGGACTTTTGTTTTATAAACTTTTCAGTAGTGGGTCTTGGGAATTACCAGTCTTTTACAGACATGAAATTATTTGTACTTGGTAGAAATATACTGAGAAAAATCCAAGGAAGAGGAAAAATGTGTTTTTACATGGTTTGTTTTTGCTTGAGTAAAATTTAAATAACCAAGAAATTTAATTTTCATTTTTCTCAATTATTACAGTCATATAAATGATGAGAGCTAATGAACTTCAGTGATCGGAGGAAATTAGTAACAGTGATAATATAATACTGATTCGTTCTCACTTGAATTTTTTCCTTAAGGTCTGACACCATGCCTGTTTCCACAAACCTGTAACTTTAAGTTGCCTTAAGCTGGCCTGGTGGCTCACGCCTGCAATACCAGCACTTTGGGAGGCTGAGGTGGGAGGATTGCTTGAGACCAGCAACAACATAGTCAGACCACATTTCTACCAAAAAAAACAACAACAACAAAAAAAACTGGGCGTGGTAGTGCATGCCTGTAGTACCAGCTACTTGGGAGGCTGAGATGGGAGGATCACTTGAGCCCAGAAGGTTGAGACCGCAGTGAACTGTGATTGCACCATTGCACTCCAGCCTGGGCAACAGAGTGAGACCATGGGTCAAAAATAAAATAAAAACACCTAAATTTCATATGAAAATTCAGTTTGGAGTTGCCTACAAGGAATAGTTGCTAGAAGAGTTTCATTTTTATAGTAGTATTTACTAGAGATTTGGTGTATACTCTGGTGCAAATTTCTGTCGTTAATGCTCTGATGACTACTATAATTGTACTCTGAAAACCACTCTCAGTAAATATTTCCCAAAGTCCAAAGTCTTGACTTGATGATTTTGTTTGACCCTTTGCTTTTCACTTTTTCTGTTTTTCTTTTCAGCCGATCTTTCTCATTTATGTAGGTAATTTTTGTCTTACTAGAGAGGACTGAGTGAGTAACTTGCCCTGAGGAGACTATCACTTTGTGATTAATCAAACTATTCAGGTATTATTATTACTGTTGTTTTTGGAACTCTAGTATATTTGTAAGTTAGAGTCAGTGATTCAGCTGACATTTATTGCTAATGACCTCAGCCATTTGAAACATAGCAGAAATCCTGGACATAAAAAAATCTATAAGCCTTCAGAATGACTGCAACCAAGTATAATAAGCCATTAGCCTTTATTAGGAAACAACTAATTGGAAGTAGTCCACAGATAAAAATCTTCAGTGTTGGCCATTGGAGTTGGGGACATTGGCAGCTGAAATGACGTCTTCAGGGGAAAAGGAAGAACTATTAAAAAGTAGGTGGAACTATGGTAGAATACTGTTTTAAGGCCGTTACATAAAGACATACACTCCTATAATCATTAACTTCTGAAGGAATGACAGTATCATAGAGCAGCCTAGTAAGTTGATGCGTCACAATGATGACTTTAATAATAAACCTTTATTCTGTGTATTATGTTTAAGGAAGTAAGAAATTGGTGTCTTTTGAGATTGCTATAAAAGTAAACATTTTCAAAACTCTGTTAATTAAATGTTACGTTTCAGTTTTCTGGAAAATTTACTTGTAGATCTCTCCTTATCAGATGATACCAAATAAAAATGGTACTATTGTGTGTGGAACTTCCTTTGTTTTATTTTATTATTTTAACCTATTTATCTTTCTACTTAATATTTCAAGGAAACTCCCAAACAAGACTCTATTATATTTAATATTTGATATCAGTAATGAACAACCAGTTGCCTAAAGATTAGCACATTTGCTAATGAAGAAAATAGTAAAGCAGATAATTAGAATTAGTAAATGACCTATGCATATGATTCAGTTGTATAGTTTTGAATCCTGATATTGAGTCTATTAGCCCAAGTGTCCTAAGGTGTCAGGTTTTTGTAGTGAGTTTTCTTCGTTGCATTGCTGGCCTTCTCTGTCTAGTATGTTAATTTAAACCTTATGCTTCCATTAGTGGTAAAGTAGATAGTCTTTGACTTGTGTATAAGGTGTGTATATGTATTTTAATGATTTTGAAAGCTGGCTTGAGGAATTAGATTTTGGGAATTAATAGAATTATTATTAGAATTTTGATATATTGCTTCCATTATTTTAATGTATATTTTTTACATATTTGTGGGTAAAAAACATTTAGTTTGATGTCCTGCTTTTTAACCTACTGTTAGGTAACACTTTCCCATTCTCACAATGCATCTTAATGACTATCATTATAAATGATTGTAAAATGTTCTGTGCAGTGAACGTATCATGTTATCCCCCATGCGAAGAACATATTTATACACGTTTCTTGTATATAGTATTATCTCTCTCGTGTATTGCCAGAATTGATTTTTTAGGTACATGTTAAAGGCTCTTAAAACATACTGCACAATATTAATGAAAAGGGATAAATTTGTATTCTCTTTCGAGTAGTTGTTACCCTATACTCATCAACACTTAACATTTTTTATAAAGGTTTAATGGGGATGTATGACATATTGTGCTTTATTTCTTTAATTACTGAGGTGAAGCATGTTTATAGATGTATTTATCTTGTGATCTTTGAAGATAAATAGAATTTAACATTATTGCAGTCAAACATCTTTTTGTTTGTTTGTTTGTTTTGAGACGGAGTCTTGCTCTGTTGCACAGGCTTGAGTGCAGTGGCACCATCTCGGCTCACTGCAGCCTCTATCCCCCAGGTTCAAGTGATACTCCTGCCTCAGCCTCCTGAGTAGCTGGGACTACAGATGCATACCACCATGCCCAGCTAATTTTTGTATTTTTATAGAGATGAGGTTTCACCATGTCGGTCAGGCTGGTCTGGAACTCCTGACCTGAGGTGATCTACTTGCCTCGGCCTCCCAAAGTGCTGGGATTACAGGGGTGATCCACCGTGCCCAGCCCAAACATCTTGATATAATTTTGTTCTACTGATTTTATGAAATTCCTCCCTTTTTAAAACTGTAATAAACAATATTGGTTTAATTCTGTTTGTTTAGTTTTTCTAAGTTAGATTTAAATAAATTTAAGTTTTTACCTCATCTGGCATTGGTGTGAAATGAGAATTTAAATATTTTCCTCCACATTGGTAATTTTCTCAACTCGTTTAAATAATGCTTTATTAAATTTTTTAATTTTTCTCATTTTTTTATTATGCTTCATTTTTACATTTTAATCATTTTTTATTTTAAATTGTTTATTTTTATCTCAATCCTTAAAAACATTCATATTGTTTTTAGATGATTCTATGATATGTTTAATATATTTTGCCTTGGCTTTCTTATTGTGGTGTTTGTTTCCTTATTTATTTTTAAGGTTACTGTAAGTTGAGAATAATAAAGCTTATTTTTTAACAAAACAATGTTTTATAATTCCTTTTCTTGTCAGCCAAAATTTGAAATAAGATTTTTCCATGCCACATAATTTAGTTGCATTGAATGAAAATTTCCCCCTTCTTGAACAGAGATAAAATGTGAAACTACTTAAAAGTACTATGCTGGCCACAGTGGCTTATGCCTGTAATCCCAACACTTTGGGAAACTGAAGTGGGAGGATTGCTTCAGCCCAGGAGTTCGACACCAGCCTGTGCAACGTAGTGTGACCTCGTCTCTACAAAAAATACACAAAATTAGCCTGGTGTGGTGGCATGTGCCTGTAGTTTCAGCTACTGGGGAGGATGAGGTGGAAGGATCACTTGACCCCAAAAGGTTGAGGCTACAGTGAGCCCAGATTGCGCCCCTACACTCCAGCCTGGGTGACACAGTGAGACCCTGTGTAAAAAAACCCCCAACAACAAACTGTAAGGAGAAAAACTACTTTGGCAGATTTTGGGGAATTAGAGAAATTAACTTCTAAAATTAACAGTTTAGGATGTATGCTTGGAGTGTTAAACAGCAGTATACAACTTGATATCATATACCTCTAATATATTTAAATTTTTTATTTAAAGCTGTAGCACTTGGGTTACAGAATCACAATAACTTTCTTCTTCAAATGTTGAGATAGCAATATGATACATATACTGAAATTTAATAACACAAGACATTCAAGTAAGCTTTAGGAAGGCACCTATGCCAGAGAGCGTTTTTAATAACTGAAAATGCTTACTGTTTACTATGATGCCTTTTTTTCTGTTATGAAATAATTTGTGATCTCAAAATAATTGAAAAAAGGTATTTATGTTTGTTTACATTTTGAAATTGTGATGGCTGCAAAGCTGTTAATTTTATTAAATGGCTTTAATGTTTTTTGTTCACAGATTTTTCTGGTTACAATAATGCTAGTAAGAAAAGCCAGATTTAAGTAACTCTGAGTGTGAAAAAATAATAAATACTTGAAAAAAAAAAGTGTGTCCTGTGCTTGAAGAACACCTACAGAGAATTGAAGATGAACAATTCGATGTGATGTAATTTCCTTCTATCTTGGGTTATGGTGAGATTTAAAGGGATTGGAACATAACTTACACCTTTTTTTGCTATTCAAATTCTGCTGCCCCATGAGAGATGAGTTGCTTTTTCAAAATGTCACTGAAATGATCCAGGAAATAGAGTTGCTAATTATATTCTGGCACTATTTACCCTCCTTACTAGTTTTTAAAGTTTTTTTTTTAATTGGTCAGAAGTTCAAGGAAAATAGATCCTGCCATTGTTACACACTTGGAAAGCAGATTGATGTGTTTCATAAATAAAACGAAATAATGCTTTTAGGTGGCTTGGCTGTATTATAGAGGGAACTACCAAGATTATTTCTCCTGGCTAAGGGGTGTGTGTGAGATTTATCCACTGATAGCCCTTGAAGAACTTTGTAATACTTTCTCTTTTTTTTTATTTACATTTTTTTATTTCCATAGATTATTGGAGATGCAATACTTCTCCATATTAACTCTCCACTCCCCACCCCAGACCTATAATTCTTACCTGAACTGTCTTTACCATATGTAGATTTTTATGGTGGTTTTGCAGTAGTTTTTTTTTTTTTTTTTTTTTGAGACCGAGTCTTACTCTGTCGCCCAGGCTAGAGTGCAGTTGCATGATCTTGGCTCACTGCAACCTCTGCCTCCTGATTTCAAGCAGTTCTCCTGACTTAGCCTCCTGAGTAGCTGGGACTACATACACGCACCACTATGCCCGGCTCATTTTTGTATTTTTCGTAGAGACGGGGTTTCGCCATGTTGGTGAGACTGATCTTGAACTCCTGACCTCAAGTGATCCGCCCACCTCGGCCTCCCAAAGTGCTGAGATTACAGGCGTGAGCCACTGTACCTGGCCAATGTGTCTTTTCCTAAGGAGAAATCTCTTTTTCCTTCTTTTTAAATAAAGGTAAATGCAATTAAAGTCTAGTACACATAGAAAGTTCTCATAAATGTACACCTCAGTGAATTTTCAGTGTGAACACAGTGGTGTAACCGTCACTAAGAGGAACACTGTCAGAACTCCAAAAACTTGTGTGTTTATTCCGGTCATTAATGGTCCCTAGGTGCCACCCCCCACCAAGGGAAGCCACTTTTGATGTCTAGTATCATAGAATTATTTGCTTTTGAGCCTAGGATTTATACAGTATGTATTGTTTTTGTGTTTGGCCTTTTTTGCTCAATGTTATGTTTGTGAGATTCAACTGTTTTATTGTGTCTTCATCCTGTTCTGATATGGGTAACCTGAGAAATCCTATAACTCAACCTGATTTGTACCTGGAGATCTCAACACTTAGACATTTTTCTCATGGCATTCATGGTTTTCAAGAACTCCTAGGAGGGGACATCAAATAAAAGCCTTCTTTGTTTTAGACTCTGTGGTAGCCTTCTTTTGTGTTTTAATGCTATTTGGGTGAACAGTATATTTTAAAATTTTTGTCACTGATGGCTTATGCAGTACCTCAGTTGCTTTTGTTTTGTTTTTTTCCTACTTAAAAATTTTGTTTTAAAAACTATAGTACAGGATTCCTGGCCAGCTAATGGCCATTTGGACTTTTATCTTACGAGTTGGTAGCTTTCTTTTCATTCTTTGAATTCCTCAAGCAGTGATTCCCATTCTAATTTTTATGATACCATGTAGTATCTTCAGTTATTTCAAAGCATGTTGTGAGCCTCCCCACCAAGAAAAAGATTCCAATTTAAGTTTAAGCCACTTTACTTTCAAAATACTTACATTTATGAATGGTACAACTTTTATGTTCATGAACAGTACAACATTGTGGTGTGTAGATTATAAAATCAAAAAGGCTAGTAAAATACTGGGAATCAACTAAGAGCCTTACCAGCTTATTAACCCCTTTCAGGCTAGCTTCAAGTGTAAAGTGCAACTTTTTTTTTTTTTTGTGGCAGTCTCACTCTGTCACCCAGGATGGAGAGCAGTGGCGCAATCTTGGCTCACTGCAAACTTCAGCTCCTGAGTTCAAGCGATTCTCGTGCCTCAGCCTCCCGAGTAGCTGGGATTACAGGCGCCCACCACCACGCCCGGCTAATTTTTGTATTTTTAGTAGAGGTGGGGTTTCTCCATGTTGTTCAGGCTGGTTTCGAACTCCTGACCTCAGGTGATCTGCCTGCCTCGGCCTCCCAGAGTGTAGGGATTACAGGCGTGAGCCACCCTGCCTGGCCGTAAAGTGCAGCTTTCTTCTCAGGAGTTCTCTTTTTGTATTTTCCTCCGATTTCACTTTCTTAATTTTAAGGAAAGTCATAGATTTATGACTGTATTCCTGCACATAATTTTTCTTTCATATAAGTCGTATGGTTATGATATGCCTGGATGATATGCGCATATAATTAATATAAAGGCTTAATTTCCTTTATAAGTGAATTTTGGTTATTTCAGTCAATAAGTGTTAGGGCCAGAATATTATAAATGGCAAATAGTTGTTGAAATTAGATATTTTGGTCATGATTAAGAGTAATGTGTATGCTTAGCAGTCCTGTACTTCAATCATCTTTTATTTGCTGAGCTTTTGTGGAAATTAAATGATTGTAAAGTTTTAGCCTAATTTCTAAAAAAAGAATCATTTGTTTTTTAATTTGGAGAGTTTAAATGTCTGACTTTGGGGAAACATCATCATGCCATAGGGAAACATCTCCTGAAGAATGGGGGAGAGATTAACTGACTTTTGTAATGGTTATAGAGTTACTTCTAAATTTGAGTAAATGCTGTTCCTACCTAGTGAACTAGTCAGAGCATTTTCCAGTTTGACCTAAGCCAAGCACACAGGTAGCTACTTCTCTTTGTATATTTAGGAGAATGTCACCAAGGATATTTTGATTTATTTGTAGGTATATGGCAGTGGTTCTCAGTATTTATCATTCATCATAATCGCCTGAAAGTTATTTGTTTTAAATAATAGATTGCTGGGCTCTGCCCTTAGAATTTCAGATTTAGTAGGTCAGGAGACCACACTTTGTAGCACTACTTGGGTATAGTTAGGGTATCTGCATTAAAAAACAAAATGAACAGACAGAAACCCCACAAATGATTCTGATACATATCCTAGATGAGAACCTTTGATCAATAGTTCTCAATACAGTATATTGTTCTGGGCATAGCAGCAGAGCATCACTTGGGAATTTTACAAATGCAGATTTTCTCAAACTCTAGAGATGGAACCCAGAAATCTGTGTTTTAAACTAGACCACTAGAGGATTCTGGTGTGTGCTAAAGTTTGACAACCATCCTTGTAACTTTATAGTTCCCTGGCACCTATCAGGGAATTTACTAGAAATTCAAATTTCACACTGCACTCCAGACCTCTCATATAACAGATTCTGAATATCAGAATCTCATTTTACAGTAGTCTCTCCTGCACTCTTATCTTCAGTTTCGCTTTCCTTGGACTGAACATATTAAATGGGAAATTCAAGAAATAAACAATTAATGTTTTAAATTGTGTGCCCTTTTGAGTATCCTGATGACATCTCTTATTGTCCCTCTGGTCCTGCCTGGGATGTGAATCATCCTTTTGTCCAGCGTGTGCATACTTTGTATGCTTCCCACTGGTTAATCACTTAGTAGCCATCTCACTTATCAGACTGAAAAAACAGTATATATCCAGTTTGGTACTATCCTCAATTTCAGGTATCCACAGGGGCGGGAGAGGGGTGAAGGGTGGGGTGGGATCTTGGGAATGTATCGCTTGTGGATGGGGGGAGGGAACTACTGTAACTAGATTCCAGGTGGTTTGTATGTATATTGAAGATTGAAAAGAGCTGCTTTAGGTGATTTTAAAAACTATTACAAAAGTAATACTAATAACTAAAATTTATTGGACATTTGCTGTGGGCCAGATACATGCTAGATAATCTATTCATTATCATTACTACTCCTTACAACCTTATACAGAGGGTTACTGTAACCCTCATTCTATAAATAAAGCAAAGGGGTTTAGTATCATGCTTGGTGTCGCACAGGTGCTAAATGCAGGGTTTGAGATTTGAACCTAAGCACTCAAAAACTGGAGTTTCGGAGTTTGAGGTGCTATCTTCATATGTATCTTCATTACCATTTGTGTGCATATATGTCCGTCCTTGTTCCAGTGCCATAGATTATATTCTAATGATTTTTTTTGGTATCACATTTTACAGTGACATTTGAATTTTCTTTCAAGTCTTATATTCACCAGAACAATCAGAAGTGGAAACAGCTGTGGTTTGAATACTTTGGTCTTGTCAACCTAAATAACAGAGGCTTTCTATAAGAAAATGATGTTTATTCGGGAATAGGGCATTGCAGTGGGAATATTGTTGCTATAGTAAACCATGTGCATATACAGGGAGGTAAAAGAAGACAAAAGTTTTTAAAGGAAAAATGAGGAGGATTTCCTAATTATTTTGAGATAATTATTCTTGGCTGCAAGGGTCAATAAGTAGAGTGCCTCCATTCTGAGGTTGGACCGGCAGTTGCTGGGCAGATGTCCTCATAGAAGTTTTAAAAAAAAACCTCCCCCCCAAAAAAAAACAAAACACCGGAGTGTTGCTGTGCTTCCCAGGCTAGATGTGAACTCCTAGGTTCAAGCAATCTTCCTGCTTCTTGGGTAGCTGGGACTACAGGTGTGTTTGTACCATGCACCTGGCTTGTTTTTTTTGTCACGTTTTGTGTAAGGTTGTAGTTTTTACAGAGTCTTTTGTGACAGTTTTTATCATGCATTACCCTCGTGAGAGCTCTTCCTTCATGGCCTTCCCTGGCTGTTTGTCAGGGTGTTTTTTTGTTTTGTTTCATTTTGTTTTGTTTTATTAAAAAACAAAACACTACTATTACTCCAGTTTGATTCTGATAACTTTCATAGAAGTCTGTTCATCAGGGTGTTGTTATCCATCCAGACTCTGTTACCTTAATAGATTTTGTTTTTGTGTGTAATTTCAGTAAGGCAACTCTTAAACTGGTTAATGTTTGTGGTGAAAATTTGCATGCTCGGCCAGGTGCAGTGGCTCATAATGCCTGTAATCTCAGCACTTG